ATATTTACAATAAAATAACCGTTACTATTGTTCTTTTCAGGTTTTTATCATCTGCACCGTGTTAATTGTGACTTTACTCTTGGTTATCTTTAACGGACCAGCAATACACCATTTTCAAGTGCCCGCTATATTAAGACCGGACAATCAAACTATCTATGAAAAATTGTGGATTTTAAAAAACCAAATCTCAACCAACCGAAGCCAAACGCAGAATCTGAAATCATTAATAGCCACAACACCAAGCAGAGTTGGTAGTAAAGTTAAAACGAGAAAAACAAGCAAACCAAAAATCAAACAAAAATACCTAATTTATTCCTGTAAAGTTGGTACATGCGGTGGTTTCGGTGACAGGCAAAGAGGGATTATTTCAACATTTCTACTGGCCAATTTAACAAAACGTAGATTTGGTTTGATGCTAACGAAACCGTGCGATATCCGACAATACTTATATCCTAATGAAGTACAGTGGGATATCCCTAGAAAGCAATTAACCAAACTAAAAACACAACTTGTTAAAATGACAACCCGGAAGAGCGTACGAGCCATGGCAAGCATAGATTTCAACAAGCGCTACAAGGCTGATGTAGTTTATTTACAGACCAATTATATTTTAAGGGACTTACTAAAGAACAACAGCAACTACAAATCTCAGATGGAGGTGTTAGCAAATACGTCTTATGACCAATATTTTGCCGAAATGTATGAGAAAATTTTCAAGCCTGGTCATATTATTGCACGGAAATTGAAAGACTTTTTGGAAAAGTCTAAAGTTGGAAACGAAACGAAGTTAATATGCGCCCAAATACGAATTGGGCGTAATCCAACTATGCCCCAAGACGATGTAAGAAATCGCAAATCGACGGTAAATGTCGTCTGGGATTTCTTGCGTCGATATAACGACACGCGTCATTATAAGATTTTCGTTACGACAGACTCTGAGGAAATTAGAAACAAGGCCAAGCGTCTTTTTCCCGAACAGGTTCTGGACTCGAAAGGGAAGATTATTCATGTAGATTTTCATCGCAGACCTTCGGCTACGATTTGCCAGGGTGTGGAAAAAGTCCTTCTCGATCAGTACATTTTATCAAACTGTGACGTGCTAATACACAGCCGAAGTAATTTTGGAGAAAACGCAGCACGCTTAAAAAAAAAACATAGCGAAATCTACATTTTTCAAAATGGCCGCATTTCTCCTTCAAGCATTGTTTAATCAATGGACAAATGTAGGTATTCATCTCGCTGTCATAGTTTAATCACGTTTCTCAAACATTACTGAGTCAAACTGAGACCTATCATATGATATACACGCTTGGTCAAACAAGGTATTCATTCCCTTTGTTTCATCGAAACTACACTGCCAAAACAGTGCGCATTTAAAACCAACTATACCCATTCAGCGCCAGGAATACATTACTCTAGTGTTATCACATACAAAAATAGAATATTAAAATCTATATCTAACACTAAATGTCAGTTTAAGAGGGAAACAAAAATTATTTTAATGTTTTTCTAAATTCCTAAAAGGTTATTTTTCTATAAATGCCATGTTCCTTCACCCGGTGACTATTGATTTCAACATTTTCTTTATAATCTGTGAATTGCTCAATGTTCTTGGGAAATATAATGGAATGTCTCACCTCCGCATTCTCAACGATTTGAATTCCAGAATTGTCCTTCTCTCAGACTGTTTGCTACTCCTGGCTAGAGAATATAATCTATCCTGATATTTAATCCTCAGCTGGAGGGAGAATAAATGGCCTTTCTTTAAGGCAATCGTGTTTCTCCACAGAGTCCTTTTCTTTATTATCTGTGAACTGTCAAGTGTTCGTGGGAAAGATGGTGAAGCGTTTCCTTTTGCCTTCTCCACGTTTTGGAATTCAGTTTTCCTTCTCTTTCACTGTTTGGCATATATATATATATATATATATATATATATATGATAAAGTGTATTTAGGTAGCATGAATCTTTTCAGACATGTTTTGTTAAATCATATCGTTTATTGAAATTAAAATACACGTAAAAATTCAGTTTGACCGTTTTAAATGTCACATTCAATTACTTGTAATTGGTTACAGTAAACGAGGTAATGTCGTAATTGACCAAAAACAGTAACATAAACACACAAAGAGACGAAATCCTTGAAAACGACTGTAGCAACATTCGAAAGTACTCAGGAAAAAAATAAATGAAAATGAACTTTGGTAAAGTTACCAATTATATAAAACAACTAAGGAATTTTGAATAGAAAATCAGATAGCTGAAATTTTTTTTAATCAATTTGCTTCAAGCAAGACGGCAATGTCACCCAGATGCAAGGGGTTACTGAGAGTGAAAAAGAATGAAAAGATTTTAGAAGGTATCAGAAACCCGATCCTAAACAGGGAACCAAGGATAAACCTATACACCTGTTCAAAAGACAGGAAGGTAGTGTGAACCAGAAGTTAGGCGAATCTATTTGTCCCTATTGAGGGGGGGGGGAAATAATTAGCAAATAAAAGTTCAGCGTTTTAAGCGGAGATGTTAGAAGCCTAGAGATGAAGTAGAATTTAGAAAAAATCGGAAACCCTATCCTAAACAGGAAACTTGTCGATATTATTCAACAAAACATGTTTGAAAATATATGTGTAGCAGCTTTTAAATTTCTCTAAATTGATACCATTTTATTTTAACAGTATCAAGTGAACGGTCTTGTGCCACATTTACGCTACGCTTGGGAAACCACTGGGGTACCTCGAGGCGGTGTAATGATTAGCAAGCTTGTTCTCGCTAGAACAATTACGACTAAGTAGTGAGTTCGATCCTTACCGTGTGCCCCATACTTTCGGTCTTGTGCCACATCTACGCTGCGCTTGGGAAATCACTGGGGCACCTCACTGGCTACGCTTGGAAAATTACTATCCCTCTGACCGTTGGAAGCCAGAATGGAGACCTCGTGTAGTGCTTTGTGACCCTCACTATCTTATTAACATTTACTTTTATTTTACCTACATTTATATAAATACAAATTAAACTAAGCACAACAGACTATTAAAAGATGAAACATTTTCGAAGATTGTGACGTCATTCTGATTTTTTTGGTAAGGGGGGGGTCCACACACACGAATTTGTTTTGCACATACTAAGTATCGAAAAAAACACCGTATGAAATTCATAATTTTTTATTCATAATGTTGAAGGTGTTAAAACTCTTCAATTTTTAACAAGAAAAATCACAAGATCATATTAAAAACTACCGTAAAACATTGATGATTTATTTAAGATAGAATAATCTATTATGACATGTCTATAATTTTTGTTTAGATTTCTTGTATTTATTTTTAGTTTTTCTTGTTGAATTGTTCACCTATATTACATATGATCCATGATTGTACACAATTAAGTGACATTAAAATTTGTATTTCATATGGATACTACCTGATAAGAATTAACATGTTAGGGAGAGTGGGAAGATTCATAGATTCTGGGAAGGGCATCAAACCCTTGCACCGGCCATATATATATATATATATATATATATATAATAAAAAATTATAATTTGTGGCTGATTGTTTGCTGTCAGATTTTCAAGAGAAAGATATTTATTTATTATGCGCGTAAGTTTATTTGAATTTCAAGTATCGTTTTTTCATTTTGGGTTTTGTCTTACGGATTCACTTAATTTTGTCTTTAAAATGATTTAATTTAAATTTGCTAATGGTCTGGTGTTTGATATACGATTTTTGTAATCCTAAAGGACGTTTTGTCCTTCAAGATTTTTCATCACGCGAAAACTTGCTCGATTTTGTCACACTTTTCGTCACTGGTAAATTTTTTCCACTTAGATTTTATTAAAATTGTTCCTGTTATATACACATTTATATATCGTTTACATATATACATACACACATACACACAAACGCGCTCGCGCGTGTTTGTGTCTGATAAAAGGAACACATTAAATTAAAACAATAATAATAATTAATATAAAATTAATAATCATATAATATATATATGATATAACGATATATAATTTTGTATATTATGATATATCAATAAGCAGTATTTAGAAAAAAATATTTATATATATATATATATATATATATATATATTATACAACAAAAAATCCAAAATTACCTTAAGTGGGTATAGTCTATTTCAAACTAGCACTGCTATGTGCCATTTATCTTCAGCCCAACACTGTCTGGAAAACAGGTGTAATTTTGGAGGAATCGAGACTTTTCTCATACAGTCTCAGTTACGATGGACTGGTCATGTTCTTGAGAATGTCTGATGATAGGATACCCAAGATCCTAATTTACAGTCAGTTAGATCAGGGCTACAGGAATGTAGGACGCCCATGGCTAAGATACAAAGACAAGCTGAAAATCAACTTGTCAGCTGTCAATATACCACATAACACCCTTGAGCGCTTAACCTTGGAGCGGGTAGAATGGAGATCAACTTGTTTTAGTGAACTCAACAGTTTTCAATATGCTTGTCTGAATCATCTTCAAGAAGCGAGAGCAAGATCTAAAAGGTCAGCGAATCTAACAGTGATCTCATCTCACAATCCACACTCTTCCTCCTATGTGGCCTCCTTTGTAAATCACTAGCGGATCTTAAGTGCCACTTAAGATTATTGAACAAAATTCCATAACTGAATCAATTAAGCTGTCAGATCCTCATGCGTCGAAACCGACGGGAGAGTCCATTATTATTATTATTATTATTATATGTATTTGTGTATGTGTGTGTGCCATTAACATAGCAATATTTAATATTGTTTATTCACTGAATTTCATGAGAAAGCTATTTATTTGAAATATTTGGGCACTATAAGAATTTTTGGGTGATAATAAGTCTTACTATTTAACCCACAGATGGTGGGGAGAGAAAATGTCGTTCCTACCTTTCCCAAGGGTAGGTAAATATAATGAGCTCGACTGGAAATGGAACTCAGCTCTATGATTTCCAATTCCAAGTCGTTACACATTATACCAGCCGGACATCCAAGTTTACACTCCTGAAATTTCCAAGCGGTCACCCATCTAGATACTGACCAAGTTCAACGTTGCTTAACTTTTATGATCGCTCGAGAACCGGTGTTTCAACGTGATATGGTCGTAAGCTCCATCTGATTTGGAAGATACTTCTAAGAGCTCTTCTAATTCTCAACGTCTTTTCCGATCATCCTGTCTTCTGTTGACACTGGGACGTACGTGGTATTTTTCTCTGTGCTCATTACGATACATTACAACGCTGCCAATCATAAGGTTATTTCTTGGGTTGGGGAACGCTTAAAAAGTCCCTATTTAAATTAATGGTGATTGCTTCTTCGTTTTATGCCGTTTCGAATTTTATTTTTAAATTTGGGAACGTTCTACTTCTCGGAGAGTTAGAGGAACCTGTAATTTCTTTATCATCTCGTGCCAAACAATTACATTTGAAAAAAGGACATACTTAACATCAGAAAGACACAGTTGAAATTTCTAGGGCACATAATGAGGAAAGAGGGCTGGGAAAATCTGACACTCACAGAACTTATTGAATGTAAGAGGGACAGAGGAAAACAGCGTATAACCTACCTAACGAACCTGTGTAAATGACAAAACAGGGATTAGGAGAGATAACAAAAGGACAAAATTTACTAATAGCTACAAAGAACAGGGAATTGTGGAGAGCCATGATCGCCAACGTCCTGCTTGTTATATAAAGGAAACCTTGGAATTCACTTTTGGAGTTGACATCAAACTGCTACAGATCCCAGTAGGAAAACGACGCAGAAGAATTTAGATTACCCATTGGCGCCGGCGAAAATTGTAAATCAAAATCCCGTAAAACATCTCGCTATAAGAGAAGCCCTATATATTAAACATCTCTCTCCCACTATCAACTTCACCTTGTTTATCAATGGGAGTAACGTACTGAAATTTTTTTTTAAATATGTTTAACTAAATAAAATAAATCACGAACTTTCTACATACAAAAAAGTATACCGAATTTCTCTTTGGAAAATATTCAGAGGAGTATTTTTTTTTTTTTTTTTTTTCGCTTTATGAAGTTATCCCTTCGGGGGATCTTTTTATGACATAATAGAATTTAATTGTAAAAAGATATGTTAATTTCCGTTGTTAATTTGCGTGTTATTGACCATCATTAGACACACAAAGCACTAAAATTGTGTAAATCTTGTCTGTTGTTAAGAATAATATCGTATCTTTTAAAATCAGCTCTTGTCGTGTGTGTCATTTATTGTGTGCCGATAAATTGACGCTGTATTGTTTGACCTATTTTTTCATAGGATATTTGAAACCAAAAAAAAAAAAAAAAAAAAATTATGGACTCCGGAATTAAAAGGTCATGGGAATGTAAACTTTTATCAGAAATACTAAACGACATGCGTCAAATAAAACATCTAGATCCTGTAATAATATTGAGAACAAGAAACGTACATTTGAAATGATAAATTTAGAGGCGTTAGTAATTTGTAATTCTCACGTTTAGTATATTAAGGTTTTGTCAACCAACTGACCATCAACGCTACATATTTTTCTAGACGTCTCCATATTCCCTTGCATGAATTCTGTAACGCCAATGAAATTTCAATCCTTTCATTAGAAGTGTTAAGAAATTTATTCTTTAATCCACTGTGTGTTTTCAGAAAGTAATACAGAAACTTTAAATAAAGTGTTCACTGCCAGATAGAATGAAAAATTGTGGCCAGCAATAATGGATACTGGTAGGATTTCTAATTCTCTCAGAATCGCCTTACTGTAGAGGATGAATAAATCCGGTGAGAAGACACGTCCATGTCTTACACCCCTTTCTATTTTGTATGTCTACAATATTCATTTTTTATCCGTATGCAGGCGATTTTCTGCTAGTATAGTAAGTACCTGTACTTTATCGCTTAAAAAGAACATACCATGATGGAAAAAAACCCAAAAAACTTGATGAAAACAATGTGTTATCGTCAAAGTGTTTGTTATTATTAAGGGAAAAGACCAAAGTATTTTTTTATTTATTTTATTGTTTTAATCCTTTCTAGCACGTGTGAAATTTTGTTAAAAATCGTGTTTTTTTTCTTCTGTCAGCTGTAGGCCAAAGATTACTATGGGAGTTTTAGCGCCTTTTTCTGTTTAAAAAAACACGTTGAATTGGGACTTCTTGTAAAAATCAAATTAGATTTTAATGAAATTATTTTGAATTTTTTTTTTTAAGAAAATCTTCGTATTGAGAAATGAAGAAAGGACAGTAAAGAAAGAGGGTTCAGGATGACAAAAGATGGCGATTGACATTGCATTTAAATCTTTGAAGATTGTAGTTGATTGAGAAGCAAGAAATCGGAAGGGAGTTTCAAAGGTGACAAATGCGAGCAAGTAACTATTAGATTAGAAGAAACGGTTGCTTCTAGCGAGTTCAAAGGTAAAACGGTGAGTCCTAGTTGCCAATCTAGTAGCAGGCTTAAATACATGCAGTCGAGACACTAAGGAAAAAAGATTATCAGAACAGTTGCCATGAAAATGTTTCTAGAAAAGACAGAGGGAAGCTATGCCACGTCGGAGAGAAAGCGACTGAAGTCGACATGTCAGATCAGGATCGATTATATTACAGATCCTTCTTTGAATTTTATCAAGAATCTCGAGATGTACAGCAAGAGCAACAGGCAAGATATAGTAGCAGTATTCAATGGTTGAGCGAATGGTAGATTTATAAATGTACGAAATGGGTTCTGTCGAGATTAATTTTTTTGCATGGCACTGTGACCAACTTTCATAGTAGTAGACATAGCAATTGATTCAATATCATCGCTCCACTTCATATCAATGGAAAAGGTGTGCCCAAGAAGGCACAAAGTGTTACTCTCCTGGAGGTTAGCATCAGCCATAGATATTCATAGCTTCTTTTTTAATCGGTATCACTACATGCAAAGCAGTAAGGGGTTACAGGGTGTGGAAGAATTAGGAACAGAAACATTAATATTGAGCGGAAAGAGGAAAGAGTAATCAGGAGGACAGATAGCAATTGACATCGCATTAAATTTTTTTTTTTGCTGGAAAGCATGGAGTCGGAAGGGAGTTCCACAAGCGAGAAAAGAAAGTGACATCATAGAATTTACGGTTACTAGAACATCGACTGTTCATTTAAGCATCCCATACCATATCCCTAATAAAAAAAATCGTTCCTGCTTTGCCTCCTGAGGCCAATGTTCTGATGATGATGGAGGATTTGCTGACGACATAGGTATTCATAGTTGTGATAAGAATGGTCTTGAACAAAAACATCGACATCCTCTACCAAGTGTTCCAAGAAATAGGACTAAAGATAAACCTATCTAAAACAAGATTTTGAACTGAAATGAAAGCACCTACCCTGAAGTCATTATAAAAGGTCAGGGTGTGATATTAGTAAATATTAAGCACTTCAAATTCTTTGGTGTGTCGATCAACTAGTATCATTTGTCATAAATAGGAAAATTAGTACAGACAGGGGAATTTAACATAGAACATGCTGCACTGGGTGTAGTTTCGTCCATCACCGCAAAAAAGCCTAATAACTGACGTGATGTTTTTAAATATACTCACCGGATCGAGATTGTCATATGGTTATTATTAATGGCACCAAACTCGTTCAGAAATATCCAAACTGTCAGCTGTATACAACCGATTTCTCGGGTCAATGATTAAAAATAGCTTCGAGCGAATAAAATCTGTGGGTCTTAGTGGGGACCCTCCTTCATTGAATTTTGTGGACTGGTGCTACAGAATTATAAATAAAGAACTGTACCAAATAAGACACCAAATCACTTGAAGACTTTCAATAGAGAGTCGAGTTCTAATTCCAGTCAAGTTTGTTATATTCACTTACGCTGCAAATAAACTTGGGAAAGGTATGAATCCACCTCTTCTCCCCAGCTATGGGTTAATTAGTAAGATTGTATCCGTAAATCATTATTATCTCAAAATGATTCTTAACATCTAAACATAATTTCTGGCTTTAAATAACCAGCAAAACTTTGATAAGCTTTCAAAAATAAATCAGCCTCGTGAAAATTAATGTTTTCTTAATACACTGCTAGCTAAAATATTAAGACAAACGAAAATTGTATTGGAGTTAAGAGTACACCCCCGGTGACTTTATGAACTCGTCCAATACTATAAAGAGTTCCATTGTATGAGTTCGAGAGTGGTAATTGCACCTGCGTCAAGCAGTTTGCTGCCGACTTGTCGAACTCTCTGCTTCCGGGCAGAGAAAAACCCAAATGAGTCTATGCCAAAGGGCAAAGTCTCGTCTGGGAAGGTAGACAAACCCGACCCTGTGTATACGATGTCTAAGGAGAATTTTTGCTGGAGCCTATAGGCTCGGAATTGCTCCACATAAAAACCGACCTTGTAGAACCAGATCTATATACTAAGTATGCATGCATAATTTTCAAATTCTTATAAATTCATGTTATCCAGTCAAGTAATTTTTCAATGTAGCAGCTAGAGAAAATGAATGTTGTATCTATAGTTCAGAGTTATAGCACTCACTTGGAAAGCTGTTCGTTTCTAATAGTTTATGAAGCAGAGAGACAAATACTTCGTCTTATGGTAATGATATTAGTGGTTTACATTTAAGGAAACATTCAACATTCACTGACCGAAAAGCCAATGCTAGTGTTGGTTGAGGTTTATAAAAAAATCTTTCTATTAAAACGATCTTAAATCTTTCTATTAAAATGGTGGTTCTCTCTGAGACTTTCAGGCGTCGTTCTCTCGAAACAGTTTTTAATCATTGATCTGAGAAAAAGGTTGTATACAGCTGGCAGTCTATAGCAGTATTTTTCAGCCTTTTTAAGCAACGACACACCTAGGAGCAAATGAAACTATCACAGCACACTTAACAAAATTTTTAAAGGGTATATATTTAAATGTTATCAAATAAAACCATAAATTTAAAAAATACACACACAAATATGAACTTACTTTATTTCAGTATTTCTATTCAACTATTTTTGCAGCCTATTTAGTGTGAAACCTATGAATGGTGTTTTTTCGCTATTTCTTCAATATTTGATCTAATCATACTTATTATAAAATCCAGGATGTGTGTGTGTGTGTGTGTGTGTTCATCTATATATTGGA